TAGAAGGCGACTCATGAAATTGGTTCTTCCTGGCACCGCGCAGATTGTGTGTCACATTATTTGCGGTTCAAATCTTCTGCGACAACTTTGCATGAGTGCAGTGAGTCATCATGTCAGAGGCAGTTCAACGGTGAACATCGATGGGTGTACTCAGGTGGTGGTGGCTTTGGCAATCCGTCCCATCTTAAGTCTTAAGCCTTAAGCTTTCTTCTTCACTCCAGAGGGCCATTAGAATCATTGGGACCATGAGAACAACTAACTAGGACCAACAACCTATGGCCTATGGCCTAGGGGGCCTAGGGCTTTATGGTGAGGTCCCGGGATCTTTGTTTAAGTTTAAGTTCTGTGACAGCTTTCTTGCGTGCATGTCTGTTACCATGGCATGCCCGCATGCCCCCTTCGGACACAGGGCATTCCGGTTTGGGACGACCGCCCGGCCGAGCGGGGTTAAGAGTAGCTTTGCAAGCTTTGGAGTCGGAGGCTGATGATGTTGAGCCGGCTCAGCCTTTGACAGATGAGGATCAGAAAGAAGCTGCGGTGCAGAGAGCAGCGAGGGCAAGGGCAGCCCGATCTGGATACACGGAAACAGCACCTGCTGAGGAGTCTGAGGCCTACAGTGGCTTCAGTTTTGGAAGTCTTGGGTTGCTGACACTCGGGACAGACTTGCAGCAGCAAATCGCGCAAGCTGCATGGAAGCTAAGAGGTGCCAAAACAGAAACCGTCACAAAGTTCAAAAAACTGTTCAGTGAGCTGCTGCTGGGTTGTCGGCCAACGGGCAGCCTGACCGCACAGGCTGCAATGCTTCAGCAGGGAAGACAACCCTTGCTGAGAGCGATGCAGCAGGCAGCATGTTATTTGGTAGTTTTCTCTGCCTGGATGATCGGGGCTCTGCTGGCTGCTTTGTCCCAACGGTGTGCTGCCGCTACTGGCCATAAGGTGGTCATGCTCTGTGTCCGACGGGCTTACGATGAAACTCCTTCGGATATCAGTGTCACGTGGATGACGCATTCTGAACTAGGTGCTTTCAACAAGAAGCGCAGCAAGCAGGAGGGAAATGCCAAAGTCCTCCAGAGCAGCTGCGAGGTTTTAATTCTCATGGAGCAAGTCTCGAGTTCGACTTACTACAGCATGAGGATTCCCATGCCTTGCTGGCTCATGGCATTGGACAAGACAACGGCTGAGGCCACTGCCAAAGCCCAGAGAGCAATCATGGACATGATTCCAGGGCTGGAAGCTTTTGGCCATAAGGCCAAATTCAACGTGCAGCTTGTGACCACGGATCGCTATTCCGCTAACCTGAAAGCGGAAAGAATCCTCAGCTCTGATGCCCCCAACGCTTGCACAACACATTATTGTTGTGACGTACACAGGACCCACACGTGTCAGGCGAAGACCGTCCAAATGCTGGACGGGCAGGTCAGCGGGATGATCGCTACAGCTCTCAGTTGCGTGGATGCTGGAAGCATTCGTTCGTTGAGAGCATCGATGACGAGGGTCTTGAAACAGAAAGTGCATCTGTGCTTCGGCTCCCCACCGGAGGATCCGTTTGCAGACGAGTACAGGTCAGCCGTCTTCGAAGCTTTCCTTCCTTTGCAGGATCCTTCTGCAGATGGTGATGGCGACGAGCATCTTCTTGCCAGGATGCAAGAGCATTACTTGCAAAGAAAACGACGCCGAGCCATCATCAACTTCTTCCTGCAAGGGGATTTGCAAGAGCAGGACGAGATCTTTTTTTACTCTGCTAGATGGGGGCTCCAAGAGCACCACGTCCTGGCACTGATGGAGAAGTTTCTCGTGCCGGCATTGCTGCCGCGGAGGCCGCCGATCTTCAGCCGGACGCGGTGGGATGGCTTTAATGATGCTCTGCTGTGGTTTGGCCTGGCAGAGGCTTGTCACGGACTGCTGCACTGCACACTCTTAGACTTCCTGCAAGTCAGTGCAAGTGAGACAAGCCTTCCACAAGCTGCACAAGCTGCGCAAGCTGCACAAGCTGCACAAGCTGATGCACAAGCTGCTGCTGTGGTGGAGGAGGAGCAGGAGGCGGCCGACCATGCTGCGGCGG